CAGGAGAGGCACCGTACGGCACATAGAGAATCATGCATATCTCAGTTCCTCTATGTTCCACCCGGCTGCTTCTCCTATCCATCTCCTGCAGGCTGCATGTCCTGGGCTCCTGTATGCTCCCCACTGCTGGCCCCCCCTGATCCCCCGGAGTGCTGAGAGGGATCTGTCAGGAGTACTGACAGTTCCCCACCCTCCACAGATGGGAGAGGAGAGAGAAAGCTGGTTCTGCCCCTCCTCCTCCAGCCATCTCCTCCTGTGTCTGCCCCTTCCACACTCTCCAGCAGTCTTATGTCTCCCCCCCCCCCTTTCTTCTTTCTTTCTCTCCACCACTTTCTTTCTCTCTGTCTCCTCTTTCTCTTTTATACTTCTCTCTCTCTTTCTTTCTTTCTTTCTTTCCCTCCTTTCTTTTTCTCCTTTTTTCCCCTCCTTTATTTTCTTTTTTCTCCTTTCTTTCTCTCCTTTCTTTTTATTTCCCTTTTTTCTTTCCCTCCTTTCTTATTCTCCTTTCTTTTCCTGTTTTCTTTTCTTTCTCTCCTGTCTTTTTCTTTTTTTTCCTTTCTTTCCCTTCTTTCTTTTTTTCCCCTTATTTCTTTTTCTCCTTTCTTTCCCTGCTTTCTTTTTATTTCCCTCCTTTCTTTTTCTTTTTTTCCCCTCCTTTCTTTTTTTTTTTCTCCTTTCTTTCATTCCTGTCTTTTCCCTCCTTTCTTTTCCTCCTTTCTTTTTCTACTTTCTTTCCCTCCTTTCTCTTTCTCCTTTCTTGTTCTCCTTTCTTTTCATCCATTCTCTTTCTTTCCCTCCTTTCTTTTTCTCCTTTCTTTCCCTCCTTTCTCTTTCTTTTCCTCCTTTCATTTTCTCCTTTCTTTCCCTCCTTTCTTTTTTTCTGTTTTCTTTGCCTCCTTTCTTTTTATTTTCTTTCCCTCCTTTCTTTTTCTCCTTTCTTTCTCTTTCCTTCCTTTCTTTTTCTGCTTTCTTTCCCTCCTTTCTATTTCTCCTTTATCTTTTTTTCCCTCCTTTTTTTCTCCTTTCTTTCCCTTCTTTATTTTTCTCCTTTCTTTCCCTCTTTTCTCTTTCTTTCCCTCCATTCTTTTTCTTTCCCTCCTTTCTTTTTCTTTCCCTCCTATCAATCTGCCTACAAAAAAATGTAAACAAATAATAAAATATAAAATTGTAAAAAATTAAATAAAAATATAAACCTACTGAGACTAGTGGAATTATCAGGGTCGCAAAGGTCGCTCTTGCGACTAGGCCCTGGCATTCCGCCACCAGGCTCAGAGGAAAGGGTCCCCGGGCTTTGGGCTGCTCAGTCCAAAATGCCCAGGTCTTTTTTATTGTCCCAGTCCAGGCCTGTTAGTAAGTGTTGGTTTGAAACCTCTCTGGATCATTTGAATTTAAAATGAGTATTGAGGGAGCAATAGTCCAACTCCCATCAATTGTACTATCAGGTGAGCTGTATATCAAGCCCCATTGTGATTGAGCACAAAGAGAGCACAACTAAAAGCCACTGTGTGGTTTGATTTACAGCTCATAACTAATGTTTCAAGTGTTTCTTATGGTACAGTCACACACTAGAAGTCTTCAGCTACCTTGCCTACCTTGCATAGGGCTATTTAAGTACTGTACCTTTAAGGAGCAAAGCGATGCCTCCAGGGAGCTTACCCTCTTTGCATTGATATATGAGCAGCACAGTTTCTAAATGCTCCACAAACGCCGCATGCGCGGTTTAGCGGTGGTTGCTAGGTGTTTGCCGAGCATTAAAAGCGCCCCACAAATGCCTATAATGAAGTTTAAATGGTGTTACCGCTCCGCAAACACCCTGCAACCGCGTCACAACCGCGCCACAAATGCCGGCCGGGCATTTGCAGAGCGACACCATTGACTAGAATAGGAGGCTTCAATGCCTCCTGACACGACCAGAGGAGTCTGTTTTCCTGCGATGCGATGCTAACACTCCCGTTAGAACAGCACCATGTGCTGCAATGTGCAATATTGTCCAAGGCATTTGGGAAGCGGTAAAAATGCTTCCCAAATGCCTCTCTGCTGCCTGCACACAACGCTAGTGTGAACATAGCCTAAGGCAGGAAACAAGAGGAGTAGGGAGCAAGGTACCGGGAGAGCTAGATGAAGGGTACAGGGAGCAAGTCACCCTCTTGTGACCACAGTGCCACCAGCAGGTGACCCAGGTAATGGCTCAAGTCCTGACAGTAATACTGGGTTTGTAAAGACATTTGGTGCACACAAACTTGACATATGTCTTGTATGGTTATTAAGGAATATTTTTAAATACAAGTTTTTCTAACCAGAGTTCAGCTTTAAATGCCACAGCTCAAAGTTGTTTCAGATAGAATGGTTAGCGTTGACTGCCTCTATGATATTTTCTATGATGGGAATGTCACTAGAGGCAAAAAATACAATAAAATCCAGACTGTATCACAGATTGTAATTTGACACATCTTGAATTCTTTTTTCTTACTTTGTATTTCTGGATATTTGATCATTAGTAGGAGGCCCCATCGCAGAGCGGTGGATGTTGTCTCCATTCCAGCACCAAAAAGATCACTCACCAGCACACTTAAGTTGTCATTGTGGAAGTACAAAGTAGATTCTGGCTTCCCCTGCCCAACAGAAATGGGGGATGAAAAATGAATGGAAAATCAATACCCTATCTTAAAAAAGTCAAAATCCCATAACATCACATTGTCATAGTCAAGGCTGAAGTTACCATGAAACCCTCATTGGCCATGGAAGAATAAAATACCTAGAATAGCATATGAAACATTGAGTAGGATTAAAGAGAAAGGGGGATTGGGTCTACCAGATGTCAAGAGATACTATAAAGCAGTGGTTTTAGCAAGAATATATGACTGGACATTTAACCATAAGGGGAAAAGCTGGGTAACAATTGAAAATGATCTTAGTGGCATTAGATTGAGTCAGATGATATGGGTTCCACCACAGTTCAGGGGAATTAAAGAAAGCACAAGTATCTACACTTTAAATGTCTTTAGGGTATGGGATAATTTACACAAAAGCATGAAATGGGATTTTAATTCTATATTAATGCCTCTCACAAATACTGAGTACTTTCCCCCGGGAAAGATTAAGATATCAGGGAGATGGTTTAGAAAGGAAGATACTCAACTGAGAGATGTTTTGGTGGAGGGGGAATTGAGATCACTAAAAGATTTAATAGAGAAGAAGGGAGATATTTTTATTAGAATAGATGAGTGGAAACATCATCAATTGAAATGTTTTATTGGAAATCTACCGAAACCCCTGAGATCAAAAGAGGAGTGGAATATGTTTGAAAGGTTGTTAGAGACCCGAAGGGATGGGAAGCACGGTGTTTCAAAAGTGTATAGAATACTCACAGAATTAGACACAAACACAAAGTTAATCTTTATAACAAAATGGGAAAGAGATATGGGAGTGGAGATTGATGAAGATAGACAGAGAAAGATGTTTAGATTGATACACGATAATGTTAGTATGAAAAAGGTTGAGGTTAATTATAAGTGTGTGACACGTTGGCACATTACACCGAGTGTAGAGCACAAGATGAGTGGTGAAAATTCAAATTTGTGTTGGAGAGGATGTGGAGAGATAGGCACGGTGTTCCACATATGGTGGGAATGTCCGAAAATCCAGGCTTTTTGGAAGATAATAGTCAAATTGATTGAAGATATAACTGAAATTGACATAGGGTTAGACCCAATGATGTGCCTCCTACACAATGTGGAGACATCTGTAAATAAATATAAAGATTCAGGTATATGGTACTTATTGAATGCGGCGAAGGGGTTGATACCCAAGTTTTGGCGGAAATCTGAGGTACCAAGGGAGGATGACTGGATTAACAGAGTGAACCAGATAGGTAGAATGGAAAGATCATACCATATGCAGGAAGATAGGATGAGAGTTTATTTTAGGAGATGGGAAAAGTGGGAAAGAGCAGGATTGAAAGAAAAATATAGGAAAATATGAACTAGGATGTTAGTAAAAAATTAATAAGCCTCAAGAGAGCAGAATGGGCTAGAGTCTGCAGAGGGGGAGGAGGGGGGAGGAGGGGTGGAAAGGGGGGGTAGTGGGATGGGAAAGAAAAGAGTTTTTAGTAAGGGAAAGGTAGAAATGTTATAAATGTCTATGTGTATGAGAATCTTTTCCCCTTTATGGGTTTTTTGTATTAACATGAAAAATTTGATGGATATTTAAATTAAAAAAAAGAAAAAAAAAAAAAAAAAAAAAAGCACAGTTTCTAAATGGTTAGCACTTCCGCCTGGCAGTACTAGGGTCGCTGGTTCAAAATCCTGACCATGGCACCACCTGCCTGGAGTTTGCATGTTCTCCCTCTGCCTGCGTGGGTTTCCTCTGGGTACTCCAGTTTCCTTCCACACTCCAAAGACATGCTGGTAGGTTAATTGGCTCCTGTCTAAAATTGGCCCTAATATGTGTATGTAGGGATGTGAGTTAGGGACCTTAGATTGTACACCCCTTGAGGGATAGGCACTGATGTGAATGTACAATATATATGTATGTAAAGTGCTGCGTAAATTGATGGCGCTATATAAGTACCTGAAATAAATAATAAATAAATATATGTCCTATAGTTGTGACTTCAGATAGTTTAGTTAAGGACCACATTATTTGAGGTGCCTCACTGTGGCATTGTAGTTTCCACATGTATTTGCAAACATATTCTTGGCTTTCTAAGGTCTCTTTCAGACAGGCAGTTGGGGGGTAAAAAAAACGGGTGGCTGAACTGTGGTTTTACTGCCCCTTTGGCCACCCACTGGAACTGTTAAAATAAAAGCCATACAGGTATACATGCCAAGGCCACAATGCCACTGGATTTTTAACTTGGGGTGCAGAGTTTGACAAGTGGCACTGCTTGTCAAACATGCCCATTGAGTTCAATGGGGCCATGCCACAACTGTGTGCAATGCAGGGGCGGACTCACCATTTGGAAACTTGGGCACTGCCTGAGGGCCCGGGGTCAGTAGCGGGCCCCATGAGATGCCCCTGGTACTTTTTTCATAGGCTTTTTTGAGTTTGGGCAAGCACACAGGGGCCCCATGATCCCCTGTTGCCCGGGGGCCCCATGAGTTGTCAGTCCACCCCTGGTGCAATGAATATGATTGTGGCATGGTACTGTCACATTCTGGCTAATGATTCTGGCTCTTAACTGGCTAATGCCCTCCTAACATTATTTGCTCTTCTTCGGGGGACACCACACTACACCTTGAGCATGAAAGAGCCCTACGTGAGACAGAGAAAAGGAGGGAGCATACCTTCTCATAGCCATTTAGCAGACTCTGTAATCTGATCTATCTGGATTTGTCCATGTCTGTCTCAAGCCAATTTACTCCACCTTCGAGAGAGTTATTTCTTTTCTTCAGGTTCACTATCCTTTTGTTTCAAGTGGTATTTATGAAATATTCATTCCCTTTGAGGTGACCTCCTCTCTCTGTTTCAGCTGTATGACATGTTCCCTACATTGATTGAATCTCTACCAGGAGTCCACAAAACAATTGCTGCAAACACTCAAAAAATGCACAATTTTATGAGAGAAACCTTTACAAAACAGAGGAAAGACCTGGATGTAAATAATCAGAGAAATCTTATTGATGCCTACCTGGCAAAGCAGCAAGAGGTGAGGATGACATTTTTTACGTGAAAAGTCCACATGGTGAGGAAGAGAACCAATAAGTTTATTGAAAGAAACAAATAACAGCAATCAAACTGAATGGACACATTGCGCACTACGAATCATAAGTCTAATACTATGGGGTTAATTTACTAAAACTGGAGAAAGCAAAATCTGATGCAGCTGTGCATGGTAGCCAATTAGCTTCTAAACTCAGCTTGTTCATTTAGACTTTGACAAGAAAACGTGGGAACCTGATTGGTTTCTATGCAGAGCTGCACCAGATTTTGCACTTTTCTAGTTTTAGTCAATCAGCCTCTATGTATTTGTACCATTGTTAAATAGATTGGTTGATCCTTGTATATACAGTGTTCATTGTTTGTAAAGATCTATGTGACCCTGGCTGATTCTTACTTTGGGAAAGTTGATATGCCAAGATGTTTACCAATTTTTCACCAATCAGGATTGATACTCCCAAGGAAGGTCATGACTGCAGCCCTGAACACTCCTCTCTTCATAGGCAAAAACACATATATTGCACCAAAGTGAACCTGCATGGTTGAAAAAATATATATTTTTTTTTTAGAAGGATTGTTTGGTGGCTGGGTCTTGAATGTATGGTCAGCTGCCATGTACTGTTGTAGATGGCTTTATATTCCATAAGGTTTATATTTTGGCCCTACTTCTACTGTGGGTCACAGGAGTACACTTCATTCTGCACTCCTGTGACCCGTATTCTGCCAACAGCATGTTAAAGTCTGCTTTTGGCTGACATTGCTCAGTAGGTCAAGGTTCTGCAGAGATCTCAACGATCCACCCAGACATCAAAATGGTCGATGGCTCAGCCTCTCAAAGCGCTACTGAGAGCATGAGCTAGCTGCTCTCATCCCTTCCACAGCCCTATGCTCCAGTGAGCTCTGAAGGTTCAGAGTAGACAACCGGTGAATGTCAGTCTCCAGCTCTCTGCTCACTGAAGACCAAGAATGAAATGACCAATTGTCTTTGATTGCTTGTTTCTCAGTCATAAAAGCAGTGGGGGACAGATGCAGCATCAGACAGATCCTGCATAAACCTTGGTGAGTATACATATTTTTTTTTTTTCTATTATCATACTTCTCTTTTAACATGTATTTGTATTTTTTTTTGTATCTATTTTATAGCCCTGATGAAGGGGGAGTCTTTTGAGACCATAACAACCTTTAATATCTTACATTGTATACAGTATGATCATATGAATAAAGACTCTTTCATCATTAGGTCTAACATTCCTGTTGTGGCTTTACATTTTGAGATTTTAATTGCTATGTGTGTTTCTGTAAGGGAAATTTACTTCTTCTCTTTGTTTTGGTTTACATTATTAACAAGAATTAAAGTTATCCAGCATTTTGAATTGTAACCAGAATAGGAATCCAATAATGATCGAGAGTTTTTTAAATTCTCATTGTTTCTACAGGACATGAAAAGAAGGGAACTCTTCCATAAGGGACACACGTGCAGGGGTTTTAACCATTCCCCACTGTACCCAAACTGAGAAAAAAAAAAGCTTGGGCTCTTTCACCCAACTGGCAGGATTTTTCCTAAGTACTTCTGTTGCTGTAAACTTACAATGTCTTCTTCAGCCCCCAGTACTTGAATCCTGTTAGGAAGCAGCACATTGTTATGAAATAAATCTCAACTTGCTCACAGTGATTGCATAGAGCTTGACTGCTTCTGTAGGGAAGAAAGTCAACAAAAAAAAACATATTTTTATAAAAATATACTATTAAAATTAAAGCAAAAACCACAATTTATTATATTACAGCTTACCAAATCTCAGATATGGTGGCTGCATTATTTTTTTTTGCTTTCCCCCCTCTATTTTCACCTGGTGATCGTTTCAGTCACACACATCCAGTATAAAAGTGCCCCCACTCTGAATGAAAGAGCACAGGGGGCACAATTGGACATCAGCATTGTCAGTCTGGGGGAGGGGAGCATTAGATTTACTAGCATATTTAGACACACTAACTTATTGAAGCCAAAATTCAGCTTATATTTTATAAGCAGTTACAGCAAACAGTTTTTTCTTACCTTTTGGGATAAAGTGTTTACATAAATAAATAAAAGCTGTTCATTGTAAGCACCCCTGTCAGTGATAAACGGTTTGGCTCATACCCTGTAACCTCAAGAGTGCTTGTCCTTTAGAAGAACAACAGACTCTCCAGATAAAAATAGAACCAAGCCTAAAAAAAAAACAAATGCAGCCATCACATCTAAGATCTGGTAAGCTGTGATATAATAAATGTAAATAAAAAATGAAATGTAAATAAATGTAGTCAAAATCACTTAAAAATTTTAAGTGCAGAACTGTTTAGAATGATTTGTGATCTGAGAATTTGAATCTACTAAAGACCATCTCTAAGCTGTTTTTAATGTCTTCCAGCAGATGTAAAGAAAAAAAAAAAAAAAAAAAAAGGAAAATCTGCTGAGACTGCAATGTTTGCCTTCATACAAGGGCACATATTACACTTGTTTTGCCACAAGATGTCTTCGTCCTCCAGGTTGATTGGTGTCATAAGGCTGAATATATAATAGGGTTGATTTATTAAAGGTAAATAGGCTTTTCTCTTTGCAAAGTAAGTTGCACTTTCCAATGGAAGTGGCCCCAGAACATAGTGAATGTGGAGAAGTATCACTTTGCAAAATGCAAAAAAATAAAATTTTTGCTTGCATATGTTTAGATGGAAGTCAGCAGAGTTTCAACTCATTCACTAAACTCTGAGTCAAATTGCAAAGTGTAACTTCCCATGCAAAGTGAAGCCTATTTGCCTTTACCAAATTAACCCCACTGTGTGTGCAATGTGTCATAGGTTTGATCCATAGAATTCTCTGTGCAACGATAAAAAAATCAGCACTGACATCAACATGTCAGTGCAGCTTTCTTCTCCATTGAACCCAGAGAATCTCAGAGAAGAGAAGAGGACCCTGTGATATTATATGACTTGCCCCAAAACTTCAAGTGGTAAGTATAAAAATAAATCACACACAATACAGCTTAGGGGACCTTCTGGGAGGAGAGGGGGAGGAAGTCCAAAGCCCAAAATCCGTTTTTAATGTACATTCCACTGATGAAGTAACTGATGAAGCAATACGCCAATAATTCCTAACCAATATTTTGTGTTTTTTTCTATTATTTAGGGAAAGCCAGAATCTATACTGTATTTCCATGATGACAACCTAACTGCCCTGGTGGCCCAACTGTTTGCTGCTGGAATGGAAACTACATCTACCACTCTGAGATGGAGCCTCCTGATCATGATTAAATACCCAGAAATCCAAAGTAAGAAAAATACAAATGCTTTGACTGAGCTCATATTTTATTTTTTTTAATCTGAATCATGATCATTTTATATTCAAAGCATTGAAAGCAAATAATGTCCCACTAAAGTATATGAAAGTCTCAGGCACTCGGCAGATATACTATCTGCATGGCAGGTCCTTTTTTACTGAGTCCATGTATATATTTTATATATTTTAAAAAGAATACCCAAACACGTTTGGTAAGGTTGCTACATGCATCACATCTCCCCTTTCTCCAATAACCAACTACGAAGTGCAGTAGAGAATTCTTAGAACAGAAGGTATCTACATGTCTCACTCCATCACAAATCCTGGAAACAATGGATTTATTCCTCCTTTCATGATAGAAGAACTTAGAAATATACAGCAAATTTTCAAATAGAAAGGGACTTTGTAGGTATGCCACCAGGCCTATATGTATTAAACACTTTTCAACCAATAAAATAAAAAAATCACATTGTTTTTATTAGTATAAAAAAATCATAAAAAGGTCATATTACACATATACATATAAAGCTAAAACCAAAATAATGTATCCACCCAAAAACCAAGCTTTCTTGACATGGTTCACTACTCCTGGCTTGCTGACAAAGAGAGATGAATTTTCCTATCCTTGTGAGTATGCCAGGAGTGGTGAAATGTTTCAAGGATGCTTGGTTTTTAGGTGGAGACATCACTGTATGCAGTGAAGTCATTAATGATTAAAGGGGGGACTAAAATGGCCAGCACCCAGGTTGTCCACGTATAAGAGAAACCAATCTGGAGTGGAGCTATGGATCTGTCTGTATATATACTCACCGGCCACTTTATTAGGTACACCTGTTCAATTGCTTGGTAACACAAATTGCTGATCAGCCAATCATATGGCAGCAACTCAATACATTTAGGCAGCTAGATATGGTGAAGACGATTTGCTGAAGTTCAAACGGAGCATCAGAATGGGGAAAATAAGGGATTTAAGTGATGTTGAATGTGGCATGGTTGTTGGTGCTGGCCTGAGTATTTAAAAAACTGCTGATCTTCTGGGATTTTCATTCACAACCATCTCTAAGGTTTACAGAGAATGGTCCAAAAATGAGAAAATAGTTTTGTGGACAAAAATGCTTTGTTGATGTCAGAGGTCAGAGGAGATTAAGCAGACTGGTTTGAGATGACAGAAAGGCAAAAGTAACTTATGTTAATAGGGACCAAAATCTTTGAGGAATGTTTCCAACACCTTGTTGAATCTTTGCCACGAAGAGTTAAGGTGGTTCTGAAGGCAAAAGGGGGTCCAAATCGGTACTGGCAAGGTGTACCTAATAGTGGTCGGTGAGTGTATGTCATGATATTATTTTATGGGCAGCACAGTGGCTAAATGGTTAGCACTTCCGCCTGGCAGTACTACTAGGGTCGTTGGTTCAAATCCCAGCCACGGCACCACCTGCCTGGAGTTTGCATGTTCTCCCTGTGCCTGTTTGGGTTTCCTCCAGGTACTCCAGTTTCCTCCCACACTCCAAAGACATGCTGGTAGGTTAATTGGATCCTTTCTAAATTGTCCCTAGTATGTGTATGTATGAATGTGAGTTAGGGACCTTAGATTGTACGCCCCTTGAGGGTTAGGGACTGATGCGAATGTACAATATATATGTGTAAAGCGCTGCGTAAATTGACGGCGCTATATAAGTAACTGAAATAAAAATAAATAAATATTATTCAGAACACTGATGTCCTTATGTTGTAAACTGCTGTAGAAGGCACTGTCAGCATAAGTATACATAATACGTATAAACAGTATAAACCAATAGTGGTGATTTATTTTTGAACATCCAACAGGGAAAGTGCAAAAAGAAATTGAAAACGTTATAGGCATGGCTGACCCTAAAATACAGCACAGAAAGCACATGCCCTATACAGATGCTGTCATATGTGAAGTGAAGTTCAGCGCTTTGGTGATATCGCCCCATCCAACCTTCCTCATGCAACGGCTCATGATATCACATTTAGAGGCTATTTCATTCCAAAGGTGAGTGATTCCAATAAAATCTGTATGTGTGTAAGTACAGTAATTATATAAAAATAGCTTCACTTCAGCAACAAAAAACAAAGAAACAAAGTGATGCATACTTAAGCAACTTCATTAGTCCATACTGTAGGCTTTTACTCAGCCTGAAAAAACTCCCAGTTTGGTAGGTGAAACCACCATGTGCTCTTGTACAGAAAACAGTTTGTCTTTACCCACTACACAGAGTTTACAAAGTCCTTTGCACAGCCCTTCTACAACAAGCCTGGTATCGCAGCAAGTGGACTTGTAGCCTGGGGTGGTCAGGCTGCGGACTCACCCAATCTTCTGCAGCTTCAACTCCAGGCCCAATGGAATAATTTTTGGATTATCCTCTTAGGGAATGACCATATTTCTGTCAACAAGCTAGTGTGGAGCCCCACAAACCCCAAATCTGAATTTTGGGAAGCAAATATCTTCCATCTACCACCTTGTGTGCCATTTTAGTACAGACACTCACTATATTGACTTGCAATCCCATCATAATAGCTTTACTTTGGCAGGGCAGCAGTAGCAGGGTCAACAACGTAAATAAACATTGTGAGCCTGTTTCCAGGTCCGGGGCATGCATGCCCATTGCTGCGCTCTATTGTGGTTGCACACAGAATGATTTTGTCAGCAGGCTGATGATTTATGATCGACTGTGAAAAAACAGCCACATCTATTAGTAAAAGCTTACAATGACAGATTCTAAACAAGCACAGGTGAATTTGGCCCACAAAGAGGAGAGACTGCATTCGATAATGGATGTCCAAGCCTAGATGCAGTAGGATGGGTCCAGGCTCAGACATGTGTCCCTAACCACAGGTAACCAGTTTATGTGATCATACATGCAAACAGTGATGGCCTTTGTCCATTTAACATTATTTTGTACAGGCTGAGCAGCTGCCACTATTCACAAACACCTGTCATCCCAGCCACAGAAATCTGCTGAAATCAGATGTATGCATATGATTGCCCATGTAAAGGAGGCCTAACAGAAAGATTCAAATTGCACATTACTATGGCCCAAAAGTATACAACTTTTGGCTCTAAGACAACCTACAAACTGCCTCACCCCTTTCCTGGTTCCAATCTGTCTGGTCTGCCACACATGTATTATTATGTTCATTCAACAGATAATTCAGTGTGACCAAACTGATAAAATTAAATAAAAATCACAAACCAAAGATGCTCCATTCAATTGACTCCTGATCAATTTTGACTCGAAGTCGATTGGCAATTGTGGCCATAGCGTTCTTACAATTGATCCTGATTGATCAAACAAATGTCTGTATGTTGAGTAATAGTGAAATGCTATATACTGTACAGTATGTTTTTTTAGTTTGTAATTACTTTCCTCTAGGGAACTATTATTATGCCGTTGCTGTCTTCTGTATTGAAAGACAAAGCTTACTTCGCAAAGCCTGATGAGTTTTACCCAGAACATTTTCTGGATGCTGATGGAAATTTCAAGAAGAACGATGCATTTATACCTTTTTCAGCAGGTAATTTAAAACATAGTTTTCCAGACAGAACTGTAGATTGAATCTGTAAGACCACAATAGAGAATTTGTCATTCCTAACCTGTTTTTGAAATGTGCAGTTTTTGAAACCATTATCTTCATATTGGCTTCTCTACCTAGTAAGTCAGTTGAGTAAATATACAGGGTAGAAGTTAGTTTTTTTTAACTTCACTGGTTGCATGCTTGTTCTAGGTCAACAAAGATGACAGCCCTGAAAACGTGCATAAACCAGCACTTAGTTGAGTACCTGATTAAATAAGCATGGCCATTCAACCCATGGCATGTCTCTGAGCATTCTGGTTGGTTATCCATCCTTTAAGAAGTATGGAATAGTTACACCATTCATATGATGGCACATACCCTGGGGCTGCCTATCCAAAGTCACATTTGAATTTCTCATTTGACCTAGAATACCACTGACCTGTAAATACACTATATTACCAAAAGTATTGGGACACCCCTCTAAATCATTGGATTCAGGTGTTCCAATCACCCCCATGGCCATAGGTATATAAAATCAAGCACCTAGGCATGCCGACTGCTTCTACAAACATTTGTGAAAGAATGGGTTGCTTTCAAGAGCTCAGTGAATTCAAGCATGGTACCGTGATAGGTTGCCACCTGTGCAATAAGTCCATCAATGAAATTTCCTTGCTACTAAATATTTCACAGTACACTGTAAGTAGTATTATAACAAAATGGAAGCAACTGGGAACAACAGCTGAAATGCACAGTGCGCAGAAATCGACAACTGTCTGCAGAATCAATAGCTAAATACCTCCTAACTTCATATGGTCTTCAGATTAAACAGTGTGTGTAGAGAGCTTTATGAAATGGACTTCCATAGCCGAGAAGCTGCATCCAAGCCTTACATCACCAAGTTCAATGCAAAGAGTAGGATTCAGTGGTGTAAAGCATGCTGCCACTTGACTCTAGAGCATCTGAGACGTGTACTCTGGAGTGAAAAACTACACTTCTTTGTCTGGCAATCTGATGGACATGTCTAGGTTTGGCTCTTGCCAGGAGAACGGTACCTGCCTAACTGCATTGTGCCAAGTGTAAAGTTTGGTGGAGGGGGGATTATGGTTTGGAGTTGTTTGTCAGGGGTTGGCCTTGGCCCCTTAGTTCCAGTGAAGGGAACTCTTAAGGCATCAGAAAACAACACATTTTGCACAATTTCATGCTCCCGACTTTGTAGGAACAGTTTGGGGTGGAGAAACTTGACTGGCCCGCACAGAGTCCTGACCTCAACCCAACAGAACACCTTTAGGATGAATAAGAGTGGAGACTGTGAGCCAGGCCTTCTCATCCCACATCAGTGCCTGACCTCACAAATGTGCTTCTGGAAGAATGGTCAAACATAGACACACTCCTAAACCTTGTGGACAGCCTTCCCAGAAGAGTTGAAACTGTTATAGCTGCAAAGGGTGGGCCAACTCAACATTGAACCCTACAGACTAATGCAGGCCATAGATGGGGAGAAAAACGGCAGATTTTTCTTTTAAAAAACGAAAAATCGGTCGTTCAAGCGGCCGACGTTACCATCAATGGTAAAAAAAAAAATCGGCCGATTTTCATCCTGTCTACTGCCGGCAAAAAGTGTCCCTGCAGAGAGCTCCGCTATTTCTTTGACAGTTCTTTGACAGTTCCTTGACATTTACAGAGGTTGCAACATTGTATCTATTTGTATCCATTTAGGATACAGATGTTTTTATTCGGAAACAAATAGATACAATGTTGCAACCGCTGTAAATGTCAAGGAACTGTCAAAGAAATAGCGGAGCTCTCTGCAGGGACACTTTTTGCCGTACTGGATTTCCTCTAATTTTTCATCCTTCTTCTTCTTCTCCTGCTTCATCATCATCCTCTTCTTCTTCATCTTCATCATCATCCTCTTCTTCTTCTTTTTTTCTTCATCATCATCCTCTTCTTCTTCTACTACTACTTCTTCTTCCTCTTCATCATCATCATCCTCTTCTTCTTCTACTTCTTCTTCCTCTTCTTCATCATCATCCTCTTCTTCTTCTTCTTCTACTACTTCTTCTTCCTCTTCATCATCATCATCCTCTTCTTCTTCTTCTACTTCTTCTTCATCATCATCATCATCCTCTTCTTCCTCTTCTTCTACTTCTTCTTCTTCCTCTCATCATCATCATCATCATCTTCTTCTACTTCTTCCTCTTCATCATCATCATCCTCTTTCTTCTACTTCTTCTTCTACTTCTTCTTCCTCTTCATCATCATCATCCTCTTCTTCTTCTACGTCTTCTTCCTCTTCATCATCATCATCCTCTTCTTCTACTTCTTCTTCTTCTACTTCTTCTTCCTCTTCATCATCATCATCCTCTTCTTCTACTTCTTCTTCCTCTTCATCATCTTCTTCATCTTCTTCTTTTTCTTCTTTTTGTCTTCCTCTTGCAGGTCACTGCTCATGCGCAGATTTTTTATCGGTAAAAAATCGGCCGATTTGCCCATTATTGCCGCGAAAATCGGCCGATTTTTTTTTTCCAACTTTACCGAAAAAAAAAACGGCCAAAATACCGAAAAACAGCCGCACAAATAGTCCACTAACGATCCGAAAATCGGCCGATTTTATTTTCAGCCAAAAAAATCGGCCGATTTTCGACCCATCTATGGCCTGCATAAGACTGGATGCCATCATGTACGTGTAAAGGCAATACTTTTGGCAATATAGTGTATTTGCAACATACTGTATCTAAAATTAAACCTTCATTAAAAAATGAAATGTAAATATTGATCTTGGCCCTACTCCCTTTTTGAGCTTCCTTATTGGTCATAGAATTCTGGCCAATAGGAAGGCTCCAAAGGTAGGATGGCATGATTCAAGCTCGCATTTTTCATTAAAAGTCAGTTGCTTATATTTAGTATTTTTTAGCATACCCAGCATGAAGTATACATTCTAAAACATGGGTTGTTAAAGAAATTCTTTCAGTAAGCCATTTTTATTTTTTTCCAGGTAAGAGAAGTTGTGCTGGGGAAAGTTTAGCCAAAATGGAACTGTTCCTCTTCTTTACCACACTGCTGCAAAACTTCATCTTCCAGGCTCCACCTGGAACTATTGTGGACCTCACTCCTGCACTGGGGTCTACAAATGCTCCTTTGCCTCAGGAAATCTGTGCTATACCTCGCAACTAAAATCTTCCTCCAAGATTGTTTCTTAAGATATTGCTGTGCATTACCAGCACTGATTTTTGGGAACGATGATTGTTGCTGCTGCTGACTGTTCTACTACGGCATATATAGACCAATCTCTGAAACCAAGTGGCCACTGTGTTTAGAAAATACCCTCTGATGCTTAACCTATTAATAACTTAAAGTGGAACTTTAATCAGAAAATTAAGTCTTGCTAGATCACTTTAAACTGGCACCTGTTGCAAGTATAGATATGTAAAACATTAAAAATAAGTGCCTATGCTGTTTAAAATCCAATAATAAACTGTCTCACCTTGCTCTGCACATGCTCAATTGCTCTCCATTTTAGGCATTTTTAGGCACTGTGCCGAACTTGTAGAGATCCATCTACTAACGGTCTAAAGATTAAAACGGAACTAAACCTAAATCTATTTAACAGCTTCAGAAAAACAGTTACATTTTTTGCATGCTAGGAATGCTGTTACATTTGCTTGTGTTCTCTCCCAAACTATCAAACCATCAATTGACTGGTGTTTTAAATGATCACATGTGCAGCACCATGGCAGTTGCAGATCAAACAGATGGCAGCTTCATTGGCTGAAAAGGATAGGAGTGCTTAGTTCTGCTTTAACTGTTGCTTAGGGTTCTGTGCTTTAACAAAATGGCAGCCTCCAACAAGAAGAAACAGGAGCAATGCTGGAGGCAATCTACAGCACACACTAATTTTTGTTGCATAATTATACATGTGGATTGTATGTTCCTTGCTAAAGAACATTATTTTTTTATCAGTTGTTATGAGTAAAGCTCCATAGGCCAATTTAGCAGATATTTAAATATTTTTGATTAATTGTCCAGCTACTTAAAGCATACCATTTAACCTTAATTTGAACTAATTTCCTATACTTTCCCTCTCCCTACCAGTAACAAACATAGAGCTTACAGAATGCATAGAAGAAAGGGAGACAGAAGTCCTGATGAAAGTGTCATCCAAGTAGAAACAATAAGGAACCACATCTAAGCAAGGAAATGTGTTGCATTACAAAGAGAGGCAAAACATAGTAATGACCAGTCATGAGAGTGTAGCTCTCGTGAGCAATATGGGGTTCCATGAAAAGAAAAAATGGCAGCGGATGAAAAAGAGAGAGAAAGAGAATAGGAGTAGGTAAGAGGAAAGGAAAGGGAAAAAAGTCTGAAAGAGAATAGAAGAGGGAGAAGGTGTAGTAGGGCAGGGGGCCCAGAGGAAAGAATGAGGAGGGGGGGATGTGTGACTACTGAAAAGGAGGGGGAGGATCTCAGGACCAAACCTGGCTAAGGGATGGCACATAGAACCACCAGAGGTCTGGGCCAGAGGTTGTCAGGGGAGGAGCAATAATTTGTTGAAATTAGGAGGAAGGTATCGTTCCACCCAGGGAGCCCAGATAGAAGTGAATTTAGGGACGGAGTCTGTAATGGTCGCTTCCACTTTAGCATGAATAATTGCTTGTGTCACCTTATTTCTAACTGCTAGGAGACAAAGGGACGGAAACTTGCATGATTTCACTAAAATTTGTTTCGCTGTGGTGACTTGTAAAAGGAGTTTGAATTGGGGTTTAGATAAGGAACGAGGCTGAAGATTCAGCAGAGTAGGGTTAGGGCAAAGGGGCTTCGCAAAAGAGAAGATAAAAGGTTGAAGATTGCAGTCCAAAATGCTTGGGCGGCCAGACACAACCACCAAATATGGAAGTGCATTCCCACCATCGCATAGCCCCGAAAGCAATTGGGAGAACAACTGGGGGCATATTTAGCAATCCTTGCGGGACCAAGTACCAACGAGTCAAAACCTTGTAGTTGGTCTCAACAGCTACTATGTTCTGCGAAGAGGATTTGATTGCTGGCCAAACTTATTCCCAATTGGCAGGTCTCAGCTGACATCCAAGGTCTTCATCCCACTTAGTGACATAGGTAGGGCTAGGGGAGGGCTCTGGGGATAAAAGAAGTGCATAGAGTGCTGAAATAAGACCTCACCTATGAGGGTCTCTTTTGCAACCGCACTTGAACAAGGTAATGGATCGAGGAGTTGGGGATTTGGCAGCCAGAGGAGCAAAAAAGTGTTTGAGTTGAAGATATCTGAAAATTTCAGACACTGGCAGGTAGTGAGATTTACGAAGAGAAGGAAAGTATTTAAGCCCGGTATTAGTCAAAAATTGGTGGGCATGGAGAAGGTTTGCTGAGGACCATTGTGAGACTGAACGAGAGGAAGAACAGGCAGGAAGGAAGGACGTATTTTGGAGGTACGAGAGTAGGGGATTGTGTGGCGATTGGAGGGAATATCGGGATCTGAGTCTATCCCAAAGCAACATGAAGTGGGAAGTGACTGGATTCTGGAGTATCCAACGGTCTGAAGGCTGGAACCATAAAAGATTAGGAACTGAGAGAGGGTCACAGTCGACAGCCTCAAGAGCGACCCATTGAGTAATTTCGGATGTCACGTGATACTTAGGCAATTGTGCAAGATGCGTGGTTTAGCAAAGTCGGGGAGACCTAGGCTGCCCATAGGTTTAGATTTGTGTATGATCAAGCGAGGAATATGAGGACGGATAGGGCCCCAAACATATGTGTAAGCTTGTCATTGCAAAATGCAGAGAAAATGCGCTGGCACTGGGATGGGTAGGACTCTAAATAAATACAGTATCTTAGGCAGGATAGACATTTTTGCTACCGTGATCCTACCCATCCAAGCCAGCGGCAATGAAGACCATTTAGTCATTAGGCCAGTAAATGGACTAGCATAGGAAGGTAATTGGTCGAATAAGGATCCGACAAGCAAGATGTCAGTATGATGCCCAAATAAGAAATAGAACGGGGGGACCAGGAGAATGATAGAACCTGTTGTAGATGATCCAACTCACGAGGGGGGTAGGAAAATTTTAATACCATCACCTTTTGGGGATTAACCTGAAGGCTGGAGACATGGCCAAAATCTTGGAGGACCCGGAGTAAATTAGGAGCTGAGGTTAGTGGGGAGGTCAGAAAGAGGAGTACGTCATCTGCAAAGAGACAGAGTTTATGATGGGAGCCACCTATCTCAAGTCCTCGTATGTTGGGATTGGCTCTTATTAGGAGGGTGAGAGGCTCTATAGCTCCCTGTAGCCATAAGCACACCCACGAATGCAAATGCATGCACAGGGTGTACAAATGTACAGTATGTAAACCACGACTGCACCACATACAGTTGTGTTCAAAATAATAGCAGTCAGACATCACTAACCTGATCAATCACTGTTTTTGGTAGAAATTACATTTCTACATGGCAAATAATTTACTAGCAGGTGTAGTAGAGTAATAGAAATCCAATAGATCCAACAGTCATGACATGCATGCTACTGATTCTGTGTAATTGAATCACTAATTGAAAGGGGCATGTTCAAAATAATAGCAGTGTGGAGTTCTATTAGTGAGGTCATTCATTCTTTGAAAAACAGGTGGCAGTTATTACCCTTATTTAAGGAAGGAAGGCAGCAAATGTACATGCTGGTTACAGTGCATTTCTCTCTGAAATTCTGAGGAAAATGGGTCGTTCCAGACATTGTTCAGAAGAACAGCGTACCTTGATTAAAAAAGTTGATTGGAGAGGGGAAAACATATAAAGAAGTGCAGAAAATGATAGGCTGCTCAGCTAAAATGATTGGAAATGCTTTAAAATGGCAACCAAAACCTGAAAGACGTGGAAGAAAACTACCATTCCAATGGATAGAAGAATAGCCAAAATGGCAAGGACTCAGCCAACAATCAGCTCCAGGAAGATCAAAGAAGGTGTAAAGTTACCTGTGAGTACTGTTACAATTAGAAGACGCCGATGTGAAGCCAAGCTATCTGCAAGAAGCCCCCGCAAAGTCCCACTGGTGAAAAAAAGACATGTGCTGAAGTTGGTTACAATTTGCCAAAGAGCACATTGACTGGCCTAAAGAGAAATGGCGCAACATTTTGTGGACTGATGAAAGTAAGATTGTTCTTTTTGGGTCTAGTGGCCGGAGACAGTTTGTCAGACGACCCCCAAACACTGAATTCAAGCCACAGTACACTGTGAAGACAGTGAAGCACAGTTGCGCAAGCATCATGATATGTGGATGTTTCTCATACTATGGTGTTGGGCCTATTTATCACATACCAGGGATCATGGATCAGTTTGAATACATCAGAATACTTGAAGAGGTCATGCTGCCTTATGCTGAAGAGGAAATGCCCTTGAAATGGGTGTTCCAACAAGACAACGACCCCAAACACACCAGTAAACGTGCAACATCTTGGTTCCAGACCAACAAGATTGACGTTAAGGAGTGGCCAGTCCAATCCCCGGATCTTATTCCAATAGAAAACTTGTGGGGTGACATAAAAAATGCAGTTTCTGAGGCAAAACCAAGAAATAGAGAAGTACTGTGGAATGTAGTCCAATCATCCTGGGCTGGAATATCTGTTCACAGGTGCCAGAAGTTGGTTGACTCCATGCAACACAGATGTACAGCAGTTCTCAGAAACAGTGCTTATACAACAAAATATTCATTAAGTGATTCAAAGGAAAGCAAAATCTTCAAACATTTTTCAGTTCATATAGTGAATGTTTGAGTTTGTAAAGAAGAATACAAACACTGCTATTTTTTTGAACAGTCTAATATTCACTTTTCTTCAATTTTTTTAGAGGAACAACACAAATTTGATATATTCATGTTTTTTTTCATATCTTCATGTTTTGATTTGGAATAGAATGTGTAATGTTCCCAATGCATTTGTGTGTATGGAAATAAAAGCTATTAGAAGGATTTTAAGCTTTATTAATTTTTTTGAACACAACTGTATGTACCATGTACAATGTAGCATTGTGAACGTGAGAGTGGGAGCAATAATTCTAGCACCAGAGAACGTGGTTAACTGATGAACAGTTAAGGCTTTTAAATCGTCACCTGTGGAGATTTGTGGGTACCACTGATTTTGCGATATCATGGACACATGCAATTTTAGGACTTGCCATGTTTGCTACCTATTTACTCAACATTACCCCACTTTTTATATTTCACCAAAAAAATTCGGTGTTATATTGAGTTTGTGTGCACTAAAACTTGTTTTAATAATTTTTTTCCTGAAAATGTGTGTTTGATAAACAAATATTGTGCAGCATAAAGAACTACAACTACTATCTTTTATTGTAAAAGGCCTCTACATTCAGAAAATATTTAACGTTCTGAGGTTGAATTCATTTTATGGAATAAAAATGCAGATTTTTTACATGTGTGCAAAAAATAAAAAAAATTGCTCTAGAGCAGATGTGGTAAGTATGTTAACAATATTTTGTAAATAACTCAATAAATGATAAATGATGTATTAAATAGATATTACAAATCAGCTACACAAATGCATAGGTAAAAGGCAAATAAAATGTTTATTTAAAAAGACCTTGAACTTTTCCACATTTTGTCACGTTACAACCAAAACGTAAATTGTATTTTATTGGGATTTTTTGTGATAGACCAACACAAAGTGGCCCATAATTGTGAAGTGGAAGGAAAATGATAAATGGTTTTCAAAATTTTTTACAAATAAATATGTGAAAAGTGTTGCGTGCATTTGTATTCAGCCCCCCGGAGCCAATAATTTGTAGAACCACCTTTCACTGCAATCACAGCTGCAAGTCTTTTTTGGGATGTCTTTATCATTTTCCTTCACAATTATGTGCCACTTTGTATTGGTCTATCACATAAAATCCCAATAAAATACATTTATGTCTTTGGTTGTAACATGACAAAATGTGGAAAATTTCAAGAGGTATGAATACTTTTTCAAGGCACTGTATTTCTTGAAAGTATACAACATCAAATGATTGGGGCGAGACCAAAAAAATACTATACAGAGGGACATAACCGAATCCAAAAGTGGAGGAGCAGCTTGTGGGCAGCGTGCGTTCGGAGTGATCATTGCATCCTGAGGAAGGAGCTCCTCCGCTTTCAGATCCAGCAACGTCATCTTGATCACTAGCGCAGCAACTCAAAATGGTACTCAGTAGGTCAATGGCCCCCACATGCTTGTATGTATGCCTGATAACGTCGGGGCATGCTCCTAATGGGACGACGGATGGTGTGCTGGGTTATTTCCTTCCAGATCTGGACCAGGGCATCACTGAGTTCCTGGACAGTTTGTGGTGCAACCTGATGGTGTCAGATGGGCCGAAACATGATATCCCAGAGATATTCTATTGGATTTAGGTCAAGCAAATGTGGGGTACATTCAATGGTATCAATTCCTTCATCCTCTAGGAACTGCCTGCATACTCTCACCACATGAGGCCGTGCATTGTCGTGCACCAGGAGGAACCCAGGACCCACTGCACCAGTGTAGGATCTGACAATGGGTCCAATGATTTCACCCCAATACCTAATGGCAGTCAGGGTTCCATTGTCAAGCCTATAGAGGTCTGTGCATTGCTCCATGGATATGTCTCCCCAGCCATCACTCACCCACCACCAAAACAGTAATGCTGAAGGATATTACTGGCAGCATAACGTTCTCCATATCTTCTCCAGACCCTTTCACGTCTGTCACATGTGCTCAGGGTGAACCTGCTCTAATCTGTGAAATGCACTGGGCACCAGTGGTGGACCTGCCAATTATGGTGTTCAATGGTAAATGCCAATCGAGCTCTATGGTGTCAGGCAGTGAGCACAGGGCCCTCTAGAGGATGTTGGGCTCTCAGACCACTCTCATGAAGTCTGTTTCTGATTGTTTGGTCAGAGACATTCACACCAGTGGCCTGCTGGAGTTCATTTTGTAGGGCTCTGGCAGTGCCCGTCCTATTCCTCCTTGCACAAATGAGAAGATACCGGTCCTGCTGATTGGTTAAAGATCTACTAGCTCTGTCCATCTCTCCTAGAGTAACTGCCTTCTCCTGGAATCTCCTCCATGCTCTGGAGACGATGCTGGGAGACACAGCAAACCTTCTGGTAATGGCACGTATTGATGTGCCATCCTGGAGTAGTTGGACTACCTGTGGAACCTCTGTAGGGTCCAGGTATCGCCTCATGCTACCAGTAGTAACACTGATCCTAGCCAAATACACAACTAGTGAAAAACAGTCAGAAAAGATGAGTAGGGAAAAAATGGCAGTGGCCTTAACCTGTAAAACCATTCCTGTTTTGGGGGTTGTCTCAATGTTGCTCATCTAATGCACCTGTTGTTAATTTTATTAACACCAAAGCAGCTGAAACTGATTAACAACCCTATCTGCTACTTAACTGACCATATCAATATCCCAGGAGTTTAATTAAGTTGATGATAGACTCTGATTAAAAAGTGTTCCTTTATTTTTTTTCAGCAGTGCATATACCATAGTTTTTGGGCTCTATAACACACTTGCAAAACTCTCAAATAAAAACACCTGAAATTCGGTTTGCTCAGGTGCGAATCCTTGGACCTACTCCAAGTCAGGGGCGGACTGACCATTTGAAAACTCGGGCACTGCCCAAGGGCCCAGGGTCAGTAGGGGGCCCCATGAGATGCCCCTGGTACCTTTTTCATAGGCTTTTTTTGAGTTTGGGCAAGGACACAGGGGCCCCATGATCCCCTATTGCCCGAGGGCCCCATGAGTTGTCAGTCCGCCCCTGGACAGGATACAAGGAAAACATTTAGTATAAATGGACCGCTTAAACCTCAAGGATAAGTAGGATATTACCTCTATAAAGGATTCATATGGTTTCTTCAGGTCCATTAGATGCATACTTCCAATGAGGGGTAAAGGTCTGGGTCCTGGAGGGAAGTTTTTGCTTTTGTGCTCCTTCTGGTTTTTGTACACTTTGGCCAAGAAAAGGATGACAACAATGGATACAAGAATTGTTACAGGGTCCATGGAAAGCATGCCCCTGGTACCTTTTTCATAGGCTTTTTTGAGTTTGGGCAAGGACACAGGGGCCCCATGATCCCCTATTGCCCGGGGGCCCCATGAGTTGTCAGTCCGCCCCTGCTCCAAGTTAAATATTACAGCAGGTATTCACATAAGCTTATATCATCAATGCCCTCCTAAGGACTAGAGATCCCAAGACTATGTCCAACCACAGCCTTGTTTTCACTCTGGTGTCTCACTACACAAACATACAGGAGTCTCAACAAGTCAAGCCAAGTCAACTTGATTTTAATTTCTTTATTAAAGTAGGATATTATGCCAGCATATTTTTGAAAGACTTTATAAGTCAGTGTGCCAAAAGACATTGTCCTGTGGACATTCCTGCCCTTACATTAGAGTCCCCTCTTACATCAGGGTTCCCAGCATTCCCAGAGACCTCTTTACTTCAGAGTTCCCCTTTACACTGCAAGGGGGAACTCTGCAGGCCCTGATGAAAAGGGGAACTTTGTGAACTATGATGTAAGGGGGAATGCTGCAGACTCTGGTGTAAAGGAGAATTCTTATGTAAAAGGCTCTCTGGTCACCAGAGCCCCCGTATATCAGAGTAGAGTCCACAATGTTTCCTCTTGCTCTGTAAGGGTGAACTCTGCTGACTATGAGGTAAGGAGGGATGCTGGGAACTCTGATGTGAGGGAAGGCTCTGGTGACCAGAGAACCTCCTACACCCAAGTCTGCAGACTGAATACACCAAGATAAAGGGGTTACCTAGAGGGAATTAAGAGGAGTGAGGACACTGATATAAGGGGAAGCTTTATATCAGTGTTCCCCTTACATCAGTGACCCCAAACAGAATGACTGATTGACCAACAGACTCTGTGTGGTCTGGAGCTGTCATACGCTGACCTCTTAATATCACCCCCACACAACAGCATCTACGGCACATTTTATTGCATGCCAAACCAAATGGTGCTGCAGCACCATGCGGCTTGGCATGGCAAAATAAAAAAAAAGGGTTGGGGCTTCTTTCCCTGCATTTCTCTCAGGGAAGGCAGCCAATTAAAATGAATAGGCTGCCCTACCCGCGATGTGTGTGTGCAAATGTGCATGCACAGACCTGAAGCATGCCTTATATCACAATCCCATTCTTGCAGCAGCATCCCCAGTCCCCCCTTCACATCATTCACTCCCTGTCACATTACTGCCCTCAGCCCCCCATAGTATTGTCTTAAACCCAGTGGTGTATTTAGGATTTGTGCTGCCCTAGGCAACACACAAATCGGGCGCCCCCCACGGAGAGAACCTGGCATTGAGGCATTCCACTACCCACCCACCTGGCTAGAGAGCGAAAGACACTCACCTTCACAGCTCTGGACATCCCCGGGAATGAGAGTCAGGCTCTGTATACACCATCAAGCAGCCCGCAACCTCTTTCGGATCCCATCTGCTCCTCATGCTGAATGTGCCCCTTCTTCCATCTCTTCTTCTGGGGGGGGGGGTGCTGCCTCCTCTGAAAAATAGCACCCTAGGCAAATGCCTTGTTTGCTTTGTGGTAAATACATCTCTACTTAAACCCCCCATTACTGCCCTCAGTGACCCCATTACTGTCCTCAGTTCCCCCCTTACTGAACTCAGCCCCCCTCCATTAATGTCCTCAGTGACCCCATTACTGTCCTCAGTCCCTCTTCTCCATTACTGTCCTCAGCTCCCCCCCCCCCCCATTACTATCCTCAGCCACTCTATTATTGTTCTCAACCCCCCTCTATTAATGTCCTCAGTGACTCCATTACGGTCCTCAGCCTCCCACCACCATCTGTCCTCATGGGACTCAGCAACCTTTGGGGGCTTTTTTTGACCTTGTGCATATTCTTATGCTCCTTACTTATACTCGGCTAGGCTGTCTTCCTCAGTTTCTCGGTGTCTGTTAGCTATCTTTAAACCGCAAAAACCGTATAGTATGTTGGGCTGTATGCCTCTCTGGAATATTGTGTCTGTTTTATCTCTTAAGGGAAAATGTCACCAGCACACCAAGGATCACCAATATGAATCCAAATGTTTTAATGAACGATCACATAGTTACAGCAAGGCAAAGTTTCGGAGTCTCACAGGACCCCTTCATCAGGCATGTGACATGTGACATGTGACATGTGACACCCCTGATGAAGGGGTCCTGCGAGACTCCGAAACGTTGCCTTGCTGTAACTATGTGATCGTTCATTAAAACTTTTGGACCCATATTGGTGATACTCAGTGTGCTGGTGACATTTTCCCTTGCTGATTTTGTTTGGTTCCAGCCGACAGTCGCTGCAGCACCCACTTATACACACAGACATTTTTAACGGAGGAACATGTGCGTTTGGATTGTACACTTGTTTTATTTCTTACACATGATCCCAGCACAGCATTTTGGTATGTTTTTATGCGCTTTGTCACTGTATTATTTGTGCTTGTTTCCCATGACATTTATACTGTTTCTATGTTTCAATAAAGCTTTTATGAAAGAAAAAATATTTATTTGCAAATAATTTTGTTTAAAAGCCAACTACTGAAAGAAAAAAAAAAGGTTTGGTTTTGGACAGAGGGGGCAAGGGTTAGAACCTATGCCAGGTTGCTATTGCTAGCTGTGTTCCCATTGGGGATAATTTCTCTAACTGCCTGTTCTGTGACACCTTGCACCCCAGGCAAGACAGTGTGTTATTGGGACAGGAAAATAGGGAAAGACTCTCCAATGGAAAAACAAGCAGCAATAAAACTCTGAAGAAGTTTTCATCCTTGCTAATGCTGCCAAAAACAGATAAAAAAAGGTTGGCTGCAGCTGGACTTTAAAGTAAATCTAATGGCCTACTCCCTCTACCAACCCTTTACCACTCTTGCATCAAGATATCCATCTCTGCCTCCCCCTCCCCTAACTTTCCTTTCTATTTATCCCTTTTCTGTAACTTTTTCTCTTCCTCTAAACTCAATGCTTGACAAACTAGTTAGGAGGGGACTGAACACTCTTCATAACAACATCTCAGGTTACTCCCCCAGCATTCATATGGGTTTCTCAGGCTTGCCGTTGCAGTCTATCCTAACGATTTTTCTCTGTCCTCAGTTATTATATCTGGTTTGGCTTTCACCACAAGAAAAGGTAAGTTCCAGTGCTAAGAAATAAGATGGCACAATGCCAACAATGATTCCAGGCCTGTAGCAGTTTAAGTGGCATTGTTCTAAGTGTCAGCTGTGATGGGCCAGGTGTTAATTCTGTTGCACAGCAAGTTAATGATGAACATGAGAGCGATTTTATTATAACTTTACATTTCTTGAGCTGAAAGCTGCTACATCCCAGTTATTAAAATTTAAAAGAACTTGCGTTTGCATTTCGTGATTTGTAATGTAACTTGAGTTGTTGCTTTTGAGGCAACTGCGATTTTAATTATACAGTTTGATGTCAAAAATTATTTTATTGTGTATGTATCAATAAAATGTATATTTTCTGAGAATGGTTGTACTGTGCCTTGAAAATCCCACCATGTCAAATGTCCATTTAAATTTTATGATAACTTTGTTCCAGTACTTAATTATGTGTGTTTTATAATGAAAATCTATCTTATAGTCAGTGATAAATCTACTGCAAACATTATAGATGTAGGGGCCACAAATATGGTATACAAATAACCATCACCAAGACTTTGCGGAGATATAGTTTGCTTTTCTGGACTACAAACTAGTTCTCCTCTGCAGACACACAGATATAACATTATGTCCTATACTGCCCCTTGCTTGAAAATCTTTCTTTGTGTATGTTTGTACTATAACTTGAACAAACCCCCTTGGCTGCCTCTTTCACACATTCAGGAAATGCTATATGTCTCTGGAATTTGCTGCACAGTGAGGCTCCTCACATTTAAAGGGAAAGTAAAGTGAAATTCTGAGCACCCATTTGAGTCATGATTGTAGTGTTTACCCCAAAGTGGAAGGAAACCTTAACTGAATGTATCATAAACAATTGCCATTTTATTTCTACAGAACACTTGTTTTCCCTTTTTAACCGTTTCCTTGTCACCCTATAGCAGAAATATTACTGCACGGCGGCATGAGTGCTCAAAATCACGTAAATAAACGTGATTTTGCAGTTTTTGGTGACCTACCCACGCCGCCATTCGTGACCTCGGCTGTCAATCACCGGGTCCCGTCTGGTGATTTCTTGGCACTGGATGATCGCCAAGTATCTTCAAAGGAGGAGAGACCTGTGTATAAACAACACAGATCGCTCCCGTCATGCATAGCAGAGCCAAACAAAGCAGTGTGCTTACAGTGAAACACACACACAGCCCACATAGTAAAAAACACGCAGCGCACAATTAACCCTTTGATCATCCCACATATTAACCCCTTCCTGACTAGTGCCATTAGTACAGTGCCAGCAGGGCCGTGGATAAGGGTGTACCACCAGTCCTCCTGTATGGGGCCCAGGACAGCAGGGGGGTCCAGGCAGTTGGGTGAATTGAATATTGGCAGGGTGAGTGATCATAACAGCAGGGGGGCAATTATTGGAACCAATCTCGTGTATGGCGCTCTCTGCAGCAGCTGAAAGCTGGCTTCATCTCCTCTCCCTCCTTTCAGC